TGTAAATCAAACATAGCCCCAATGGGAATCTGTTGAAATATTGTAGGGGGCGCCGTTGAGCCGTGTTGCATTTTACAACTTGGCCCAGCCTGCCTTTTTTATTCATCCTGACCTGCTCTATATGCCTACAAAATTGCGTAGCTCTAGGCCAAATGTGCTTTTGACAATTTAGAAGGTGGCGCTGTGGAGCAATTTTTCTATTGAGGTGTGTATTGTTCTTCCAAACTATAAAATTTTTCACCGGGTCTCATGTACATGGCAATTTTGGTGAGTTTTCGAGTATGTTTAGGGCCTCAAAAACGCGTATCTTTGGCACGAATAATAATAATAATCCGAGCAGTTCCAATACGGTCTTCGCACCCTTTTGGGTGCTCGGACCCTAATAATCCTGCAATAAAAAAATGAAATCTAAACTAATAGCAAGTTTACCAAACGGTTCAAATAATTAAATTGTTTATTTCTGATTCCCGTAACCCTGAAACTTCTCTCCATGTGTGATAAAAATCTGACTACAACGTTACCAGCAGTAAAATAAAAACATCCTGGCAGCAGTGATGGAGCTCAAATGATTTACCAGCAGCTTAGAAACTGTTAGTCTGTGTCTAAATGAAAGTACACAGTGTGACTTGGATCGATCTTGTCTTCTTGCTGAATTAATAATTCTGAGTAGTCATGAAGCTGCCAGCACTGTTCTGCGTGCATAAATGTGCACAACTCTGTGACTTTGGAGACACTCACATGGATCCTGCTGCTGTCTGATGATGCAGGTAGTTAATAAACTCAGAGGGAAGACAAAGCAACTGTTAATGTTTTGTCAGAAAAAAACAAAAAACAGATTAAGTTTAATCTGAGCTGTTAGTGTCTGTTTTTATTGCAGTAAAGTTTAAAGGACGTTTCAGTTTGTAGCACAAAAGATGTTAAACTGTAGGACAAAGTGAAGGTTGTTGTGTTATTTAGTGGCTCTTGCTCTCTGTGATATTTTAAAGCTAATATTGTTGCTGAAATGTGGAAGACGCCCTCCCCAAATCACTTCATACAATCAGAAATACCATTAGTTGTTTGTGTTTATCTTTTAATGTGACAGCATGTAGTTTAGACTTGAGTCGTGCTGAAAGTGATACAGAAATGTTACTAGGTCCGACCTTGTAAGGTGTCGGTGCACCTTTAACGGGGAAGTGAGCGGGGCGCTCATGCAGACGTGCAGTTCAGTTGTCGACAGATTAAGAGAAAGGAAGCATGTGTGAAAGACGCTGAAAGGAAAAAGGACTCCCCCCAAAAATATGAAACTTCTTCACTTGAATTTGATCATGAGGGAATTTCTATATCCTCATACAAAACAAGAGAAATCTTGTTCTTCCACACAAGTTTATCCCTAAAAGTAGGGATAAACATGTAACAAGGAAGACTATTTGGTTGCCTGTAATGACGATGCCACCTGTCCTAAGTCAGCTGGGATAGGCTCCAGCCCCCCGCGACCCTAGTGAGGATTAAGCGGTGTATAGATGATGGATGGATGGATGGATGTAATGATGATGCCCTGTACGGACTCACAGTATATGGCTTAGAGAAGCCGGCCTCCCTGTGAGCCTCCTCCAGCCACGTCTCGGCTGTCGTCTGGCTGCCGCCGCTCTGCTCCTTGGTATGAGGACTGTTGCTGATGCAGGGCTCACTGGGCTTCACTGGAGCTCTCACTGCTGGAAGGACTCTGGACTCCACACCGTTACTGCCACAATCTGTACACACATATAGCCAAACCACTTTGGTATCTTGCAGCTTTTCTCGCAGGTTAAAATAAAACCAGTAAACTCAGCAAAGTGTGCTGGGGAGTTTTAATATGACAAACAGAAAAAGAATACAGTGCTACCTGTTGCGGGTTTAGAAGAAGAGCTGCTCTTAGCTGCATTTTTCTCCCCTCCACCTCCTGAAGCAGCCGTCTTGCTCCCTTCTTTTCTAACAGGGCTGCTGTTGACCTGGAGGGAGCATCCAAAGCGTTAACACATGTTGAACAGGTGACACAAACACTGCACAGGTTCACACTGCTTTTAAAATATGGCAAAGCTGGAAATTCAAGAGTCTGGGAAGATCCTGGACTCCTGAAGACAGTTATTAGCAGATAAAATGCTAGAAACACAAATGCTCAAGCAAATAAACAACCTAATTTACAGACTTCAAACGACAAAGCTACTACATGACTCAACTACTGCGCCAGCTATGAAAATGAAAAGTTTACTGTGTGCCCTCCTCAGGATGCACTGATACCTTGGTTTTAAATAATATGCCAATAAAATCCAGGACTACAATGCCAAAAATCTAACAAAAAAACAGTTTGTACAGTCACAATAACATGGACTCATACTGTGTTATCCTTCACAGCTTCATACTAAAATGGTATTAATGCATCCTTTGATTGGACAGTAAATTGTGGCGCACTAACTATGAGGTCACTGACTAAAATGCTACCACATGTATGGTTCAGTTACCATGTGAAATTCAGTGGTAGTGTTTCCGTTCATTAGTGGGGCGTGGTGACCGTTACTGCTTCTGCTGTCACCCTTCGCCTCAGCTTTGGCCTTAGCATGGAGTAAACAGCACATTGGAGAAGGTGTCATGTTAGGAAGCAAAGATGGGGCTTCAGGAGGAAGGAGGTGCACCAAGCACAACATGTAGAGGTAAAAATGATGTGACATAAATGGCATACAACACTGTGGATGCTAAATATCAGGAAATACCATTATTATCATCATTTAAATCAGATGATTCTGGTTGGCGGTGGCTTGCACAACAAGCCTCATGGGGTTTACGTGGCGTTTTACAGATCTTATTTAGCTCATGATGCCTCACCTTGGCAGCGTGGCTCTGTTGGCTGGGAGCAGAGGTGGTATTCTGGGCTTCATCACTCTCAGCCACTGGCTTATCAGAGCAGCTGCTGGAGGTGGAGCCAACCTCTTCCTCTAATAGCATCCGCCTGGACATTTCCTCATCATACTCCTCTTTGGACTTTCTGTGGACAGCAGGAGAGTAGGAGAACATTAGCTGCTTCAATTTCCACTATTTGCAAATTAACCCTCGAGAGAAAGTAGCTCCTGAAATGTCTGACCTGGTCTCACGATGCAGCAATTAGTAGCCCAATTAGACTGTTTCAGAATACGTTTAGCAGTTCAGGTGTGATAAGAACCGCTGTAATCCAGAGGTAAGCCGGTTCTATTGGCCATTTAGCTCTTGGCTGACAGCAAAAATAAACAAGTGGAAACTAGAATAAGGCGGCTACGTCACGGAATGCCATGTGGTAAATACACTACACTACACTACGCCCTAACTTGCTCACAGGCATCACCAGGGGACACCACAGATCCTTTGATTTGATTTATTTCACACCTTAAATTGCCTTAGTGGAGACACATGCAAAGCCTTTACTAGAGGGTTAATTGAGAATTGCAGAGGCAGATAAAGTTGTTGTTATTGTGGCTGTGATTTGTCGGAGGATTTTTATAGCATCTCAAAAGACCGACTGTGATAATAATAGCACAACGACACATTTAGCTGTCAGACAAGACTAAAATCATTATTGAACTTTTTCACAGTGCTTGAAAAAAGGCATTTCTGCAAATAGTGCTGTTTATTTCGCATTTTCTATTTCACTAAATCTTTATAATTTGAAGATGTCATCCAACTAAGGATGTCCTCTTTCTGTGCATTATGTTTTAACACAAAGTCCCACTGAAACCACTCTAACCAACCACCGTTAGTTATGGAAAGTCAGCTTGCAGAATTGAAACTTGCTTGAGACTGATAACACAAATCCCTCACAGTAAACATTTAGTGGTTTTAATATTCACGGCATCAACTATCATTGCATGAAAAACCAGCTGCATCAGATATTAGTGAAAACAATTCCTTCATGGTGCATTCAGGTGTTTTTAGAGAAGCTAGTTGCAGAAAATTCTATAAAAACATCCACCCAGGAAGACAATGGGCAAACATGAACAGGAAGATCTGTTGACTGAAACTTGTTTGCATCTTAGAGACTCAGAAATAAGTTTATTTTCTTATTATACAGAAATGAACTGAAACCAGAGGTGGTCTGGAAGGGAGTAGAGGCAGAACAATGCAGCGCTGATATGCAGCCAAAGGAAGACAAAGGGGATAAAAACACTATTTTTCTCAGTTGCTTGTTGAGTGTCAATCCCTTCTACCGAAATTAGCTGGAACCTAAGGAGCTTAGCCGCGGTCCCATTAGACTCAGTGTGTTCTACTTGGCCGGGCTGTCACTGGCAAAATCCCATTAGAGAGCAGGGATAGGAGCGCCAGCACACCTGAGCACACACACAGGCAACGGCTGCATAAAGAAAATGTGGAAATCTGAGAGCAGTGTAATGCAGGTTAAAAAAAAATCGAATCTAATTCTTAAAAAAATGATAGAATCAGTGAATTAGTTAAGCACACACAGATAAATACTGACTGTAAGATTTCCTAAGTATCCACGTCACACTAATGGAATTGTGATATTTCAGCCAAAATATACGACAGAACACTAAAATCTATTAGATTTGGAAGAATAAAGTGGAAAAGGAGTCAAGCCAGATGAGGATAAGATCTGATCCATAACTGCTACTTAAAACATCACATTGTTTTTGATTTTATCTGTCAAAAAGAGTCCATCCAAGCCATAGGACTCCTAAAACAAATGAACTCTGTGTTTCAACTTTTATGTGTATCGTGGCGCTCGTGCAATGAAACATCCAGCAACAGCAAACTGTTCAAGGTAAACCTAAAATGGGCGACTGTTTGTGTTTGTATGTCTGCATAAGAAAGTAAAAGAATGAGACAGAGAAGAGAAGGCGACAGAGTGGAAGTAACTTACTTGAGAACCTCCTGCAGGATTTTCATCTCTTCCTGCTGCAACTCTGACATCACGTCGGCACCATCAGTCAGACACTCTGGGAGAGCGCCTGCATACACACACAGAGGAGTTTTACTCAATTCATCACTCTGTGTGTGTGTTTGGAGATTTGTGCATGTGTTGTTCTGTCCTACCGTTCCTTTCTTTAATGACTCTGAGAGCTTGAAGCTGCAGCTCCATGTTCTTCTGGACCATCAGTGAGCGAAACATCTGGAAGTCATCTGTAGCCAGGACTGGCTGGAACACCGACTGAAGAACAAAAATAATAAAAACTACTTCAAACCACATGATTATTGTTATTATTGAATGGCATCAGTGTTTGTGGGAGACAGTGACTTTGAAGCCAACATTAAACAACTTCATTGTGAAGTGCTGCAAATTGATTTATTAATAAAAAAACAAGTTTGTGTGCCAGTCATCAAGGAGTATATTTACACATAGTTTACATACAGATTACATACGTGCATTATTTTGTACCAGACTCAAACCAGACTTGAATCTTGTGTGGATACACCTCTGACTCATCAATTCACAGAAAAAAAAACTACTGAGATGCTGACATATTGGAAATCTTTAGAAGCCACTTTGCAACAAGTCTGAAAAAGTTCTCCACCACAGAACTTTATCTGTAATGTTGTATTTTACCAACAGTGGTCTGAGTTAATGTGGCCCTGTTACCCCCCCTTTGGATTAGCACAGGATGTTCCAGCATGGCTGGCACTCAACTCAAGCCCCTACAAAAATTAAGCTATGTTTGCAAATACAGTGCTACTTAAGCCTAATCTTTTACCTTAGCTTCCGGCCTCTAATCAAAGGTCTGCCCCCCATCCAGGCTAATGCTGGACAAGTCTGTCTGACAAACGTTCACAGGGCTGCTGGCTTCCTCAGTCCTCATGCTGAGCTTCTCTGTTTTTCATCCTGACAATTTAACTTCTCCTTTGCTTCTGACGCCCAAACCGACATTAAATCCTGTTTCTTTGATGAAACTAACCACAGAGACGGTGCAGTCAGCTACAGTAGGTTCACCGCTGCACTTTGCTCTGCAGCACATTCACCCATGTTTGTCTACGGTATCCTGGTGATCTACAACTGAAAACCAAATGCTCCAAACAATGTGGAAACGGTTCAACAACAACAAAAAAAACTTTGAGGTTGTCATTTTCACAATATCCACTTTTTGCTGCAACTGGTCTTTTATTTGCTACCAAAAATCATGACAGAGCGGTCGTCATTTACTACGTAAACCAAAAAATAGTTATATTTTGCACAACACATGCAGAATTTGCAGCACCAAAATCTAAACTACGATGTGTTTAACTCAATATTCATTTGTAATCCAGTCGATTTCCTGGATGGTATCTTGAATATGCTTTCAATTAAAGAAACTAAAGAAACTTACACATTAGTAATTGGTTTTAACGTCTTTATTTCTCTTATACTCTCTTTCATTAGGACGATTAACTCAGGTAGTCACTAATTTTACTGCAGAGCTTGACAAAGCTTCTGTTATCTGGGAACTCAGTTATCCGTGACAAAAATGTGACAGCAGTAATCTCTTAAACTGTTTTTTTGTCCAACGTTTCTGCATGGATAAACAAAAACCAAAACCTCTCCAACAACAAACGAGCAACAAGCATACTGTTAATCTGTGTTTTAGGAGCACTTGACCCTATTTGCAGACATTAACTATTTATCTTAGAGGTAATTAATGAGATCCGAGTCTTCTAAGGATTGCAATGTAATCCAGATCTCCATCTCTGCCAATCTGGCAGAGATGCATTGATCAGTGCCAATAAAAATCTATAGATAGACAAATAGCACAAATCTTTTAATGCAGGCAGCAAACGGCTGAGATGTTTTCACTGACTGTTGTAGACATGAACAAATGATAGACTGATGTATCATCATCAAACTTTGTAAAGCTATCAGGAGAGTGAATACGTGACCGATGCTTCAGGATGTTTTTTTGAAAGAAATGCACTGAAGAACTAATTGTTTGCTTTAGACACAAGCATCTTATCAATTTCGCTAAAGCCGGTGTAGATATTTCACCATAATGACTGCAGAATAAATAAACTGTTTTGGCAGGACACGTGGGAGTGCGACATTTGACTAAAATATGTGCAGTTATGAAAATAAGAAGGAAAACTTCTGATGTGTTGCTTGAAACTGACCTGTTCTGATAATTGCACGACTGTGATGAAGGTGTGAACATTGCTTTTTTTTTTTAACATAACAATCAGAGCAATGCTTTAGTAACACACTTTAAATAGGAGCAATTTAAGTTTAGCTTACAATAAAACAGAACTGTATATGTAGATCAGAATCAGAATAATTTAAATACTTGCTTACAGTGAAATTAATTTCAAGCAGTTGCTCAGATTGATTATTTTTTCTTGTCAGGAAAACACATTTTGCCTTGAAGGAGGAACCAGAGACCAGATATGTGTGGCACCAGGTAAAAAGCAGGATAATGGAGCCTACGCAAGGAAATCCCTTTCTCAAGGGACAGCTGATGGTGGTGTGCAAACAGAGAGCTTAAAGTACCTGCAAAGTTTTGGATCTGGCAAAAGGAGAGGTGCACGCATCCAGAAACTGCTGCTCGTTGATGCCAACCTCCTGCATGTAAGTCTCCAGCAGCTTCTCCACCTACAAGAGCAAAGCAGCTTACAGCAGTCCAGTCTGACGAGTCAGCGATATAATACTGCAAATGAGTAACGCTGTCATGAGTCAATGCATAATAACAGGAGACTATGGATGAGTGTCCGGCTTTGGGTTGTTTGTCCATCTGCACTCACCAGCCGCTTGTACTGCTGATGGATCTCTGTGTAGGACAACTTGTTTTCATCTTCATCATCGAAAACTGAAAATAATGACAATAAAAAGTGCAATTAAGCATTTTAATTGTGCATACAGGTGAAAATTGGCAAACATATTCGAAGGCATCTTTATTTACCAAGCTGTGTGTGCTGTCTCTACGTGCTAAAGTGCACATAAAAAGTTAATACACAACAATTGTTTGGTGGCTACGTTTAGCTACTTTGCTTTAAATGTGGGGCGACATTTTTTTCTCACCTTTGTTCTATGTCGAGGAGGTGAAAGAGGTGAAACTCAACTAATAGCTTAGTTATAGCTCGAAGGAAAATCATACATTAAGTGGAAACTGTCAAATACCACAAATACAGCTAGCTTCGTCAACAAAAACAACTTCACGTTAGCGTTAGCTTAGCCACCGCGCTAACGGTGCACAGCACCAGAGAGGCTTTGTTTCCTCCCATGCCCACGACTCAGAACTTATTTCATCTACCTGTGCATTTGTTTTCCATAAAGTCCGTGACAGGAATGACCCACTCGGGACTTCCCAGGTAGCCCACGATGCTCTCCACCACCCATTCGCTGTCATCCTCAGCCATGTTGGCCGCCGCTGGGTAACGTTAGCAACGGTACGGCGATGCTGTTGTCGTTCAGGTCGGCGCGTCCAGCTCCGCTAAAGCACGAACACAGGCGGCCCGGACGGTTGGGAAAAGACATCTGGTTCACCGTCCTTCAAAAAACACTCCCCATGAGTCCCTCCGCCGGCTGGTTCTTCTCCTCTCCTGACCGGGACCGGAGCGTCTCCGAGCAGAAATGCGCAGTCATGAATTTGAGAGTCGAAAGTGGTGACGCCTAATCGGTTGCCAGGGTGACCGTTACGTCAGCGCGCCGCCACACAGGTAGCACGAGCCCTCGGGAGGCGTCACTGCTGCTAATGTGTCTGTGATCACACGTTTCTCTGCTCCAGAGGACCCGTCAGGACCCAAGAGCTTCTTCCAGTGCAGCAGTCTGCAGATTTGAACCTGATAATTGCACCTTTTTTTCTTCTTTCTAAGACAGGCTATGATAGAGACACTGTGCTTTAAGTAAAGAATGGTTCTTTCCCTGCTTAAGCCACATTAATATCACAGTCACTGTAGGATAGCTTGACCAGTGGCTCTGGGAATTAGGTTAATTTATAATAATAGGGATCATCTTTATTTATGGAGCACTTATAAAATTCAAGAATAAGAAAACCAAGAAGCAGATAATAACTCAGTAATGCATATAAAAGCAACAGCGTGAAGTGTATATAATATTAGAAGAACCAAAAGAGAGTTCAAATGAAAAGCTATCCTAAAACACACTACACTGGATCTGTGACAGCAAATTGTTGTCGGTCAAATAGGTAGTTTTTGTGTCCCTCACTTTTATCAATCACTTATACAGACAAGACTGCTATCTAAAAACTCACGAACTATATCATAACGTTGCTCGTGGACTCTTCAATTTCAGTTTCAGTTACATAAGTTAAATACACACAAGACACTTCTGTCCAACATGTCCTTGTTCTGCTCAGGACACTCACCTGTGGTTGAGACATCACTCTGTGTCCATTCAGCCGTTTTGTTTCTGTCTTTGAGCTGCAGGTCGTGGGTCCGTCCTGCATTGTTCAGCAGTTCTTTAAAGAAGCTTACACCTCTATAGTCTTTAAGAGTCTGAACAAGAGTTTCAACTAAATCCACAGCTGTACCTAAACTACTTTAACTAATAACATGTACAAACAGATTCTTTATTTACAAGATTCTTTAATTTGAAAGAAATATTCTGCCAGAACAAGAGTAGTTACAGGATGTAAGCCCAGTTTTTTGAGTGTATACACCCTCTAATTGGCTTCATTATTGGCTGTGTGGAGTGAGCAGATTCGGTTTGATCTCAGGATCAGCTGATGTACCATACCGCTGATCATCATATCTGCCAGCAGTAACTATTTTTCACTGATTACACAAAGTCCTAAAACATTATTTTATTCATGTTTTCAGCTCAAACCAAGATTAGGTTCAAAGAAAAAGGGATGCACTTCTTTTTTAAATGGACTGAGCTGCCTTACAAAATGGTTTTATAACATTTTTGCACCAAGTATAAGTGCACAGAATAGAATTTGAGAATAGTTTTAAATTACAATGCAGTATAACTTAGACATATACTGCACAAACTTGTATAGGCTAGTTGCACAGATAGAAATACAGCAGTTCTAGTGAAACCCTATCTGTCGCCCCGCATTGGGGCACAAGCTCTCAGTATCACACCGTTCTCACAGTACACCTGAGAAAATCCATTCCTTACCCGTCCCTGGCAATCTTTTGCAGGTTTGTCAGAATTCATTGCATCCACATCTAATCATGCAGCTGGTGATCATAAACTTTCTATCTCCATGTGGAAAATCATTCCTCTGTGGGGCTGAGTAACGAAAAGTAAGCTGGATGGAAAAGTGACACCATCCTGGGATGGACTGTAAATGTGTTGCAGATATCTGGCAGCCTTCAGCATGTTTACAGGCTGACTGTTGGCAGTTAGAGTTTGCAGGCTTCCCAATACGCATGCCAATGAGGCAGTAAATTTCAGTCCTAAAAAATTATATTGCATACAGCCTGGATGTAAATGTTTGAACCCTGTTCCGTAATGTAATTGTCAGATTCAAATAAAACATTTAATAATGTTTGCGTACATCCAGTTTTCACCTCTCACCAGGTTGTTTTTTTTCAGGTCTCAATGTAAATATGCATATTACATCTAGGTGTATGCAGACACACAGGTTCACAGTGTCTTTACTCCTCCTTTATGACTTTTTCTTTTTTCAATCAGGTCTCGGTGTTATTGTGCAGATGTCTGAAACTGTCACTTTGCATTTCACTCCACATACTGCATGAACATGTGACAAATAAATCTTTTGAATCTTGAGTCTAAGTAGGAGGTAAGCATGATTAATCTGTGCACAATAATTGACTGTACATAATGATCCAGTTACCTTATTTAACAGAAATATATGCATTCTTTCTGTTATTTCTAATGATTTGATTAACAATAATAATATGTTTCCTTTGGCACTGACTAAAAGATGTTTTGGGGACACTTTAAACGCCAAAAGTTCCTGAAAAAAACCCTGGTTACTAATAGGCTGCACAGCTTTGATTGGTGGATCGTAGGAATCTCTTTATGTACAATCTATGGTTGGAACACACTCAGGTATTACAATGCATGTGTCAGAAGTCCTCATACATTCAAATTGGTGCTGTGTTTGAAGACGTTATGTGCGGTGCTACTTTAACCTCACAATGAAGTGAGTTCTGTAGTGTAACAAAGCAGGTGATTATTATTATTATCATTATTTTGTGTTCAGTCAGTCAGTTGTGAACCTGAATGCCCCTCAGCTTAGCCAGAGGTCTGTCCATTCAGGCTACATATAGGACCCGACTGACAGCCACAGTGCAGTTATGTACTAAGGATTAACTTCTGGTAAGCCAACTTGCTTCAATTAACAGCTTGTGTGAAAAGAAAAGCCAAGTCACTTATAACTAAACAGACAAGAGAACACACCCGCACGAACTCGAAAGGCTAAGACACTTTTTTTTTTATTATTAGGAGTAAAAACTTGAGTGATCGGATAACTCAGTAGTGTGCATTAACAAGGATATTCAATAAATATACATTCCGTCTGTTTCTTTAAAGGTATACAAGATTTCATTGTTAGCATCATCTCTAGAAAGGCTTACAGCTACTGTGCACAGTTCATAAAGGCAGGGCATGCAAGCAGCAGTCATGCCGGAAAAATTCAACAGAATCAAGGAAGGCGACATTACAAAGCTCCGACAGTGAGTATTTAAAATGAACCACTCAGTATAATAGTGCTCTAGTCTGCTTAAGTTTTCCCAAAACCCATCTACCCTTCTGACCTCAAGAAAAATAGCATCTTTTACAGAGATTTCACAAAATAAATGCTCAGTTTTCTTTAACAGACAGACAACGAGCGACGCAGATAAACTCCTGTTTTATGCCTGGAATTTGTAATGAGCAGATTGTAAACCGTTACTGATGTCAGACCTTGGCATCTGTGTTCTCTGTGCTCAGAGCTAAAATAATCTTCAACAATAATTGGAAAATAGTCACTGTTGTTCAAGATTAAAACAGTTGGAAAACACGTAAACAAGTATTACACAAAGACCCTGGTAGGTGCATTAGCAGCATTCCTGCGCCCCGTTTGAACAATCGTAGATAGTAGCAGCGTAAAAGTAGTAAATCTGAGAGTAGCGATACAGTGTGGAGACGTAGTGCTTAACATGTGGATGTTATTGTTGAGATAATATCGTATATATTATTCATTCTGTGAGTAGAAACTATTTTACAGATGAAACCAGTGATTGTGTTGGTCACATCAGATTATTATTGTGAATGAATCAGTGGCTGTGGCTCATACAGAGCGGGAGAAAGTGTTACGACGTACACAGCAGGAATGGAAAGAATGATTTAGTTTTGCATGTTAGTATTACATTATTCTTGCTTTATATAATCTGATAACATGAACATTCCAATTTTATGTCAAATTTTAGCAGAATTGCTAGCATTCCCATGACGCTGCCTTTTATATTTTACATGAAGTGACACAGAGTTGGGTGACAAATTAAAGGAAAAACCAACATAAAGCGTCTTTGTAAGGCGTTGTCCCACCGTGAAGAGATTCGGTGCACCTTGGCATCCATTCTCCAAGTCTCGACAACATTTTTCCCAAACATATACCCACATTTGATCATTTACACACTCTTCAAACTCCTCAGTGAGCCCTCTTGTGACCTATAGATGGTAGCACTCTAACCTTGGAGGAGAGCACTCCCATCAGGAAAGAAGTATTTCATCTCAGAATAAAGGTAATTAGACCTTTGTGTTGATTTGCAGTGAATCTTCACACTAAGGAAGCAAGGGGACCCAAATTATAAGAGCAAAATTGCCAGAATCATTAAATCCCCTCAGTGTAGGAGTTATATGTTCAGATTTTTCCTTTAATTTGTCATATTTGTTTATTATAATGTGGATAAATATGTACTAGATCAAGGCTGACTTTTAAAAATGATGAAACTGCAACAGATAACAGATGTTGAAGTGTAGAGTCATCGGAGTCATTGTAATCCGAGTAGCTTCAGTAAAAAGCACTTTTCTTGGAGCTTTAGGTTAGGAGGTTCTTTAGGTTCTTTCAACAACATAAACCTTCTTCTAAAACCCAGTTGCTTTTTACTGAAGCGCCTTGGATTTTTAAAGACATCCTCTAGATGGCAGAAGTTACCCACGACGATGAGTTGTGAAACGATGTGTTTGTGACTGACATATTTTCTTTCACTGGTATCAGTTATTTGGCTTCACACATTCTGTCGTTATATATAGATATAAGAAACATGTCATGACAACATCTGTACAGTGACTTAGATTCGACCTGCAGCACAACCAGGCCAGGCACAAACACTGTTTATATAAATGCTCTCAAAACTGGTGAAGCCCTGGACGGTTTCTACCAAAAGTTATTTTTTAGGGCTACAGTTAATTAGTTTTGTTAGATTAAGCTGTTAAATAATTGTGTAATTGTTTGATTCATAAAAAGTCAGGAAAAAAATGTCCATTACATCTCAAATTAGGTCCAAAAATCCACAGATATGTGGTTTATATCATAGAAAGCCCAAAATACCAGCAAATATTCAAAATTGAGAAACTAGAAACAGGGTGTTGGTGTTTTTGTTTTTTAAAAAAAAAAGACTAAATAGCCACCAGTATTTCTTTTTGTGGACCACAGTGACTGTCTGTTGTGAATCTGCGGCTAAACTTTCTGTGCGTTCTTGCTCCAGAGGGACATTTTCACATGTTCCTCCTGCTGAATGAATTCAGACAAAACACTGGCTGCACATGTGCTGCTTTCACATTAAAGCACTGATCATAACAACCTGCATACTGTTGATACAGACCTCACTATGGAGCTCTTTCTGGAAGTTATAAAAATGCTTTTACATTACTGTACACCCCACAAGCATTGTTGTTAAAAGTCGTAGCAAAGAGTGTGTAAACTGACATGCAATCATTCAAAAGCAGGTGAAAGTTGCTACAAGCTTCCGAGTCGAGTGCGGATTAATTATTCTGCACCGACCGTCCTGTGTTCTCGGCTCGGCCTTTGCACGGTAAAGGGACTATACTGTATAATCAGCCACAAGCAAGACATTACAGACCAAAATGTCCTTGAGGTTAAACTGCAGCAACTGCAACTGTCAGGCTCTGTTAAAAATTCATTGTATTGATTTGGCTGACAGCAGAGACCCTCTGGCCCCTTCTTCTAACTGCTCCTTCGGTATTTGTTCAATAAGTCACAACACTGCGTTTGGAGGGATATTATAGATATCCATTCAGTTCCTCCTCTTTTCCAAGATTTGTACGTGGAAGCAGCAGTGATTATCTGTACGGGTCCTTTCAGATCAATAGACCCTCTTCCTCCTGGGAAAAACGCCACATCTTTGATTTAAACAAGTGAAGGCTGTAGTTTTTTCAGTAGCAGGGACTGATGGAGAATGCACGGACACAGCACAACAGATGTGTCATTTAATTCAATCACAGCCTCCATAAAGAGACTCATTTTGATACGCACCATCGTACGGTGCAGTGACGCATCCTGTCCTGGATTTTGCAGTCGTTCTCTGTACTTAAGGTAATGAGAGTAAAACATGGTGGACACAATTTGATCAATGCCTTTAGACCCCCAGATCCTCAACTCTAAATAGGTTATGGGGCTGTTACCATTACAAGAGAAGTAAAAGCAATGTTTAGGGTTTAACAAATTAGTTGGCAGGTCAAATCAGGCTGTCTGTTTCTGTTAATGTCATTGAACCAGACCTATTGGAAAGGTAGTTTCTGGTTGGGTTAGAGATCTGAAGCCACTTGCTTCAGTTAATAAGTTTGCAGTTGAAGGATTTTAATGCACTGTAGCTCAGTCTGAATACAGCCAGAGATGCACAGAACTATTTACACGAGGCCAAAGCTTCCACTACCAGAGTACAGAGGCAGTAAGAGATCCATGAGTAAAGCTGTGTGGTAAATCTCCCACTAGTATAGAGTATCTTTAATGTTTGATGTAGCTACTGTAGCTACACATGCTGCATCGCCTCCGGCCTCAGCATAGGCATGCAGGTGGTATTCTCCCTTTTAAAGGGTGATAAATGATGACTGCCACAAACAGCTTAAATGACATATAATGCTCAGGCAATCAATGCAATGTCATGTGTTCCCTTTCCTTGAGACACCTCAACAAGGACAGAAAAAAGAATATATAATTTGCAAGGTCATAAGGTAATAGTAGTATATAAATAAGCATTTCCTCGTTCTTCAAGAGTAATCAAAAGTGCCCGACTGCAATGGAGCCTTTACTTTTCTTCTTAAGTTCTTCCTTGTCCATGATCAAGTCCTGCAAACCTGATGACACTTAAATCTTCAAAGTTTTTGTTTTCTACAAAATGACAATAATAAAATGCTACAAAGATCCACTGACTGGTCCGCTGTCACTAGAGGAGAGCAGTTCTTCAGACACTGTTTGGTGAAACAAACCCACAATGCTTTGCAGTCACAGAGCTCCGTTGGAGATCTCTCTGCAGCCGCTGCTCTCTGCTGACTGACCGGGTAGATCCATTGGATTGTCGTGGTTATTACCTTTGATTTGTACCTGTCTGTCTTCAAAGTGGCTCATTTTGATTTGACCCCTCTCTTGGTAACTGTCCATGATCGGCACGAGTCCATTGGCCGGGCCTTGGTGACCAACTTTACTGAGTCTGTCATCGTGGTGCCTTGTTTTGTCTGATGTCTGTCCATTGACTTTGTGATGGCTCCTCATTGGTGCAGGTCCGCTGTCATGTGGACCCTTTCTGAGAGGCACTGGTCCGCTGTCCAGGTGGCTGGCTTTGACTGGCACCAGCCTGTTCATCTGGTGCTTGTTGCAAACAGGGATTTTATTAGCCTGCAGGGAGCGGGTGTAACGCGAAAACCAGTCCCGCTCGAATGCGGCCTGTAGCTGCTCCACCACTGTGGAGTTTCTCTCCTCGATGCCTTCTGGCTGGCTGATCACAAGGCCGGCTCCTGCATTAAAGGTAAACTCATTCCCCACCCAGTCGAGGTTCCCTGTCAGGATGCAGACAACAGGGAGACATAAAAAAGACACCAGTCAACAAACAAGACCTACACACAGTGACCACTGAGCTCGTACTGTCTAAGAATTAGGAGAACGTCGAAGAACTCTGGGGATATTCAAGGAACACTGTTTAATCTTTAACAGTTCAATACAGAAAGGAGTTTGCTGGAGGAACCTCTGACAACTCAAAAGGGTTTCATGGAGGAACCTTTTTAAAAGGGTTCCTGGTGGATTTCTTTGTAGAGTTAGGTGTCAGTCTAACTGATGCTTTACACCTGCACTGACACATTTTTTAAAATTATATAAATATCCTGAAAATGTTCTTTGAACATGTGATTTTAATTTTTTCTTTATTAGACCTTGTCGGCAATGTTATCCAACGTTGCAGAAACGTTTAATGCTTGCTCAATCTTGACTGTTCATTTAAACATTTTACAAAAAGTAGTGTGAAAAACACCATTTTTGGGGTTAAATTGCAGCTGATTTTAATCGTGGCAATAAATTGAGGACTAGCTGCACCATATACATCCTTAAACACCAAAACTGGCATTTTTAAATTACAGTTTGTACAGTGATTAAATACATGAGATAAAAGTTAATAGTAAATAGCAACACTTTTGAGATGTGCTTGGAATTTCATTGACTTCCAGAGAGAGCCAGGGTCGTAGTTTGCTTCCACTTCCAGTCATCATCTTTTGTTCTGCCGATTTCCACTTTAGATACGGATCTTCTTATCTTAAATACAGTCCTATTCCTATAACTCCACTAAAAATTAGATCAGCACAAAGTGAGCAGAGACATGTGGGCCACAGTCATACAGTCTAGTCGATGAGCTCACCTAGATAAATGGCTCTGTCTGTAACCATAAACCTGTTGTGGTTAATTCCCTGGAGGCTGCCGTCCCGCTGCACTCTGGGGTTGAAGAACTTCTACACACACACACAAAGACACACACAGTACTGCAGTAAGCATTGATAAAGCATATCTACAGGGTCGAAAATAGCCTGCAGTGGCCTTCAACTTACAGCTTCCAGCGAGCAGTTGGCCTGCTCCATGCACAGGCTCCTCAGGGACCAGAGGAAGTTGAAAGTGAGTGGATGAGTCTTTTCCCAGCAACTTATCAGCAGACGGACCCGCACCTTCCTCAGGATGAGAGCCTCTCTTATAAGACCGTCGATACGAGACCAGTACCTTGGCACCGACACAGACACAAACATGGGCACAGAGCCACACGGACACGGAGTTTAATCGCTCAAATCAAAGCAGGGAATCCAAGCTTTTGATGATAGCTGCCTGCCAAGTCATTGTACTGCGGGCCGAGCGGCCTCTAACCTGTGTGTGCTGCTGCCGAGGAGCGGCAGGTAGTCGGTGATGGAGATGTATATGAAATGGCGGGCCTCCTGGATGACCCTGGAAATGGCTTCCAGATCAGTGCTGCGATCTTTTGGGATGAAAACATCTGGAGAACTCTGTCAAGAGGAGGAAAGGCGGCAAAGACAATTAAAAAGTGTTTTTGGTGAGACTATGCACAATCGTGGATGCTTCTCGAAAGAAGCAAACACAAAATATTGTCAGAGCAAAAACTTTTATGACCAGAGAGACTCAAAGAAATCTTAGTAATATGCAGATTACAGAACACCATTTACATCATCTCATTTCTCATCATCATCATTGTTCACCTAAATGACGATTAGAAAATTACTGTATTCCTGTTTGTTTGTCTGTGTTTGTCCTTAAAGGTTCAGTTTTAACATCTTGTTGACAGGCACTGTATCCCGATAAACCCAGAGTATGTCCTTGAGTGTGCCTTTTGTGTTGAGTCCAGCCATGTCAACTTTTTTTCTACTGGATGACACCAACATCTTTCATTTCATGCCGAGACAGTCTCTATGAAATGTACTTTCACTTTACTTGGCTGTCACGTCCACTGCGGATGGCTTCCACACGATCAGCCCTGACATTAAAATCCCTGACAGTTGAAGCGGATAACATTGATCATCTTGTTACAGTGGCACCTGTCAAGAGGAGGGATACATTAGGCAGCAAATGAAATGTCAGTTCTTGAAGCTGATGCGTTGGAAGCAGGAAATATCAGCAGCGACTGGGTCACAGCATCTCAAAAAAAAGCAGGTTTTGTGAGGTGTTCCTGGGATAATGTGGTTAACAAATACCAGAAGTGGTTCAACTGGTGAACCGACAACAGGATACCCAAGGATCATTGATGTACATTGCGGAGCAAAGACTGACTAATGTGGTTTGATGCCACATTAAAGCCACAAACTGCTGCAACCTTAAGTGCTCCGAACACACAGCGTCATCAGCAGACTGATCAGAGTGCCCACGTTGACCCCTGTTTACCACCATCTACAACGGGCATGTGAGCATCAGAAGTGGAGCCTGGGAGAAGATGGGCTGGTCTGATGAATCACATTTTCTCTTACATCATGTGGCATTATTTAAGTGGTGAAGAGATGTTATCAGGATGTGCTACTGCAAAGAAGACAGGCCAATGGAGGCGGTGCGATGTTCTAGAAAGTGCTCTCTGGGAAGTCTTGGGTCCTGGTATTCATGTGGATGTCACTTTGACATCTATCTAAACATTGTTGTAGGACATATATGAGCTTCAAAAAGTTCTTAGAAAACGTCACAGGAGAAAGATTGCTCCTGTGTTATTTTTAAGCATAGACTCCTGTAACTTCAATACACGTGATCCACCAATGTTCAAGACTCCAGATTCTCCTCAGCAGCACGCATGACGTCATCCTCACTCTGAAAATGGCAACTGCACAAGTGGGATTTCAGGTTGGGAAACGGAAGTCTGACAGCCTGCATTAAACATTTGAGGTTTTGTAGACTTTGATATAAGGCTTTATAGTACACAGTTATGCCCTAAATTGGGAGCTACCTGCCTTGTTTCCAGGTGAGGCCGAGAACTTTTTAAAGTACCTGCTATCATGGCAGCGGTATTCCCTTAAGCAGTGACTTCTTTCACTCTGCACACACCACAAAACTGGGAATGGTTTGAGAAACATGACAAAGAGTTCAAGTTGTTGACTCAGCCTCCAAATTCCATCAATCAGTCTGATGGAGCATCAGTGGGATGTGCTGGAAAATCAAGTCTGATCCACAAAGGTCCACCTCATAACTTCTAGGACTAAAAGGATCTGCTGCTAACGTCTCAGCGCCTGATAACACAGAACACCTTCAGAGGTTTGTGGAGCCCATTAGGCAGGTGGTGCTAATGTTGTGGCTAATGGATGTAAGTGTGTTTTTACAGTCGACACATTTTAGGTTAGAATCTTTTGTTAAAAACCTGGATATCTATGTCTAGTGTCGACTAATCTGTGTTGTAAATAGTCTCCGACAACGGGACTTTTTCACTGCAGAAATTTTAAATGTTGTCATTTCAGGATAAGCAGAGATGTTGCTGATAACATTAATGATGGTTCTGCTCTACTTAAAGGTCCTACAGCGCTGAGGTGCACCCACACACGTGTTATTTTGCCTGATTAGACCTCTGCTGAGGACTGTACAGACTGTGCATCACCGACGTCACCCACACTCTCCTGCTGTACCTGTTAAAGTGGAACAAATCACACCTTTATCAGTGTAATCGATGACCTCACATAAATCCCAACATAGAAGCATCCAGCTTCAACCAGAGCTGATCCCGCGCTCGCTTCATATGAGATGGATGTTAGAGAAGATTTCTATGTTCTGTAAGGGACCGCTTGCTCTTGGATTTATTGTTCAATTAGAGATTGTTATGTGAGGATTAAAGTATTCTACCATGAGAATACGACAACATGTTTTTAATTTGTGTTTAATTAGTGTGAACAAAAGTGCTTGACTGGCGAGAGGTGCCCATATTTTGTTGGTTTTCACCGACCTTGGATGTAGGAAGTCAGACCTTAAAATCCACAAATTCAATGTACAAAGTGGAGAGTGAAAACATGGGTACCTCAAGGTTTCCTGAGCTGTATTTCTATGAACAACATGCCAACAGACATGTAGTTCAGTTAACTAAAGAAATAGAGGAGTGAAAAGGGTGGAAAGGGGACATTGTTTAATATTTTTCACATTAAACTCGTTAAAAGCAGAGAAGCTGTATTAGGTTCATGTTACTGTGGAGGCTGCTGTTTAGGAGAACGACACTAAATCCAGAAATTGAGGTTGAAAAAAAAAGTTCCTGAGTGGCGGCATTTTCTATGATTTTTCCGAGTCTATTATTGGAAATACTTTGTTCTCAGTTGCCGCTGAATGCAGCATTGTTAAGCTCACAGTAGGAAATTGAAGCGTTCAGATCCATTTTTCAGTCATATTTGCACGTTGGATGTTCATGTAAATGTTATTTGGAAACTCATAAATACGATATCTTCATTATGTCATAGATGCAGCATCAGTCTGGTCAGCCACAATAAGTTCAAACACCGAAATGGTAAACGATCACTTATATAGCGCTTTACAATGTGTTTCTCATTCACCCATTCACACACACATTCATACACCAATGGCGACAGAGCTGCCATGCAAGGTGCTACCTGCCATTGGGAGCAACTTCGGGTTCAGTGTCTTACCCAAGGACACTTTGACTGTGGAGGGGCGTCAGCCACAGCCGCCCATGTCACTTGGGCTGTGTCTACAATACTTTTTATTATATAGACCTCTATAACTTGAGATTCCCAGTTACATAGAGCTGTCAGCAGTTAACAAAATGGAAGAAAAACTGAATTTGTTAGCAGGGAGTGAACTAGTTTCTGATCACATGATGCTGTTTGTGTCATTTTAGTGATGCAAACACTTTTATACTAGTGATAAAAAATGCTAAAGATGACTTTGCACTCTTGAATGGGCTGAAATTCAGCCACAGTTCTGTTAAGTCATGACTATGAAAGAAAAACGCTGTACACTACTATTTAATAAAACATTGTGGGAACTCAGCAGTGTGCAGACTTTACCTTTTTCTTGCTGAGTCATGATAGTGAGCCAGCATGCTGAGTCCTAGAGCTCTGAAAAGAGTTCATCTAAATACCTCTGGGTGGTAAATTATTTCATTAATAACACCTGTGCTCCTTGTGATGCAACATGTTAAAATGATTTCAGTATCAGAGTCCTGGAAGTGGAACATCTAAATAGATCAAGCCTTTAATTCTCATAAATTATTACTCCTGTACTTTTCAGGATGTATTACTTCCAAACTAATGACTGTTAGTTCCTCAGAGACTAGCCCTGAAAAGAGAATTAAACTTCAATGCATTTCCTCAATTGGTAACACGCAGTTAAATTAGGTTCTTCCAATTCTAAGTAAACAAGTAATATTAATGAGGTTTAAGTTAGACGGACTTAAATAATTTCTGTCCAAATGAGCTTTGCTGCAGTTTACCTAAATTTAAAATGTAAAACGTGATTTTGTCATTGAACTTGCTTTTCTTTTCTTTTCTTTTCTTTTCTTTTCTTTTCTTTTCTTTAATCTGCAATTATGCTCGAAGAAAGCAGCATCTGAGTTGCAGCAGAAATTTTGAAGAAACTCAGATGTCAGACGCATGATGCTAAAACACTTCTGTCGAATTTTGAATACCAGCTTAAAGGAACATAACGTAATTTCAAGTTGATGGAATCCACTGAAGTAAAATGCCTTCACCAAAACAGAAAGTTAGTGAGATCTATTTGAAGCTACTTCAACTGCAGCTCACATACAGGTTTTACAGTGCAGCATCTCACTTCAGATGTAATGAATTGCACGAGCATTTAAACACTTCATTTAATTACTTTTTAAATGCAGTACACTTTGGAGCATTAGCAGTGGAAAAATGCTGTTATCTAATATACTTGTGCCTGTAGAGCATCACTTTAGATCACAAGTACAAACCACTGATTGCAGAGTCAATAATAGGAGCCAAAAGCGGACAGATATATTGCTCTGAATAATTTTTTGGGCCTAAGCCTTCCCCTCTACATGTGCCTCAAACCTTGTCCTTGATACGTTTACCAGATATTACAAAAGCATTACTCAAAAATACACAAACCGAAGCTCTAAGTGCCACTCACCGAGACGTAGGCCTCGGCTTTTGTGCTGTTGAACGTGAGCTCCAGCGGTTCGTCCCTGTTGAAGAGGGCGAACAGGCGCTTGGACCAGAAGGAGGGGATGAAGTCTTTGTACTGGAGCCCCCAGTAGAGGCTGAACACTCTGTGGAGGTCCAGAGCCAGACAGCTGCAGTTGTACACCAACACTCCCAGCTCCTTCCTCTGGAGAACAAACGGAAACCTTTTAGAGAATCAGAGCCCCGGAGACGGCCGACATTTACATCAATATATTTGCAATTATCCTCAGGAGTGCTGCGTTTGCTTTCATCAGCAAAAATGCCGTCCATCATCTCCATCTATCGTCTCCTCTCTGAGTCACATTAACCCGTCTTCATTTACTCTTTCATCACTTTTCTCCACAAATCTCATCCAACTGCGAGACTTCATCTATCGTCACAGCAACGGCAGGAAAGAAAAAGACACCACGGTGGTCTTCTTCCTCTTCTCGTGTTTATTTCTTTGCTCTCTGCAGCATTTTTCCTCCAAAGAGTCACTTCTCTGCGTTTCAGCTTCTAGGTTTGCACCTTATAAACTGCCCCTCTTCTCCACATGTTTATTCTGTCCCTGCAGTGTTGACACATATTTCTAATAAAGCCAAGATCTCGTGGGGCAACCTGATAGCCAAGTGGTTAGAGTGCCCACCACAATCCCCTACTGTCTCCACGGTCGCACAACAAAATAATCTTTAAAAAAGTTCCGGCCGTGAAAGTCTTGTTTGACAAAGCCTGTTCTTATCTCCCTCAAAATGCGCCGACGTGCACAGCTCAGCGGACTAAAAATACAATCCGCGGCTTTACTCATCATGTGGATTTTTCACAGACCCAAAACCCAAAAATGGTCTGAAATACACAAACTATAACTTCAGTATCTGACATTTGATTTCTGCTGCTGTCTCGTGAAGGCACAAAAAATGCTAAACTAAATTGCAAATAAGTTTTTTTAATGGCCACCTTGAGCTCTTTGCATTTTATCTCCATGAATCAAGGCCCCTTGTATTTTTGGATATTTTAGGACGACTAACCAAAAGGGTTCACACGTTAATGAACCATCCAAAATAACTGGCTTTGAAGAAGGAGATGAAAGAATGTGCACTCTCTATTTTTTGATGCCACCGCCTGCCCCCAGTAAACACCACCAACCCACGAATACACAACCCTCTATTTGTATTACCCGTGTTTTAATATGGCTTTGTTCATTTGGATATATCCACTGAGTCTCTTCATAAATCCAAATATGCTACCTGGAAAACGCAACCTTTAGGGCATCTGTGAACATCACTACTGAGTAAACAGTCAAAGTAAATTCCACTTATTTAATACCTGTGGTGTATGTGCAGTTCTATGCAAAAGTTTTAGGCACTTTCGGTCAGGGGTGCCCAATCCTGGCCTCGAGAGCCCCTATCCAGCATGTTTTAGATGTGTCCCTCTTCCAACACACCTGATTCACATGATCAGGATCGTTATCAGGCTTCTGCAGAGCTTGATGATGAGCTGATCATTTGAATCAGGTGTGTTGGAAGTGGCAAACATCTAAAACATGCTGGATAGGGGCTCTCGAGGACCAGGAGTGGGCACCCTTGCTTTAGATGTTTAGATTCCTAACCATCACGCAAAACCATTGAGGACGCAACTAACTGGTTATAAATTCATTCTGTAGCAGGACAGTGAGCCCAAACATACAGCCAGAGTGACTAAAAAACAAATTTAAGTGACCAGAAAACCAGAGACTCCTGCAGCAAACTACCTTAAGAAACTGTGCACAAGTGTACATAAAAGAATCGGTGCTGCTTCGGAGGGGAAAGGGTGATTAAATATTGATTTGATTTATTTTTTTTGTGGTTACTGGACTTTATATAAAGTTTAATAATTAAAACTATTTTAAAAGGATGCTAACTTTACTCTCAGTGCCTAAAACCTTCCCACAGCTCTGGACATTTACAGTAAATTTCACTGTTCTGGTGATATCAGTCAAATAAATTCACCCATGCAGTTTTCAACAGGGTGAAGATTTTGCATAAAACTGTTTGGAACTTAATAAAATGTTTGAGTCTGAGCCAGTGGGTCATTATCAAATTTGTTCTGTAGTTAAATCTTATGCAAATCTGTGGAGTTGGATGCTCAACGACAACAGACTGTGTAACTGGTAATTAATGATTTCAGCAGGAGGACGGAGTTGAGATCATTTGCAAAGTTACAGAACTGAAATTGAATTGTTTTCTACCACAGTCTGTGCTAAAGTGTTTGTGTTTCACTGCGTGTCGTTAATGCGTAGTGGGTCTACGATACTGTGGCCAGAGATCTCCAGTCCATGCTGGCGCTGCCGAAGTAGAAATGTCTCCTGTCGACCACCCAGAAGGAGGAGTGGAGGCTGCCTTTGGTCAGCGCCGTCATGTTCACGTAGTGGACCTCAGCATCTAGAAACGCAGAGCGAGAGAGGAAACACATGAAGGGATTAGATAAGAGACATAAATAAATGCAGATAGAAATAAAAGCATGCGAGACAAGGAGAAGGATAAAGATGGATCTGGCTGCAGGCAGAGACAGGATAAACCAAGAAACTGAAACTCAAAGACAGATGAAGGGAAGGAGATTGAAAGAACTGACCAGGAACAATGGGGACAGATTAAACGGGCAGAGCTAAGCTGCAGCATGCAAACAGGCAGATTGTATAAAACAGTGAAAGTGAGCGCTGACAGTGTTTGGCGAGTATCTTGAGCTCAGTCGAGTCAATCATCCCGCTGGAGATCTTCAGCTGGACTCCTTTCGCTTTCAGCCCCTGCAGTCTGGACAGCAGAGCCCTGCCCTGAGGGAGACACACCGACAAACCATGACTGTCACATCAACTTCATTCTCTGGGGATTCAGATTAGACAGAGTTCAGACTTTTCCTGAGTATTTTGGTACATCAGAAGCCATTTTTGTGCTATTTTTGTGCTACACTTCCCACTTGTCCACAGACAGCCACTGTGATGTCTGTTTCCTTTTTTTTGTGCCATTTTGTTTTGATCAAGTATTTATACGGTGCCTATAAAAAGTACTCCAGGGTTCCAAGGTGCAGCCACTGGTGAATCAGCACTCCTGGTTATAACTAGACCATGAAGGCGAAACAACACCCCGAGCAACTCTGTGAAAAGGTTGTTGAAAAGCATAAGTCAGAAAATAAATCCACTGACTGTTTCTTGAGGTTAAATACATCTTTAAGAAACAGATGAAATATGACAAATGTGTAAATCTGCATAGAGCAGGCGGTCCTCAAAAACTGTGTCCACATGCAGGAAAAAGACTAGTGAAGGAGGCCACCAAGACACATATAATCCCTCTGAAGGAGCTAAAAGCTTCAGCAAGTTGAAGCTGTATGGGAGAGAGGCAGAGATAAAGCCACTGTGGAAAAAAATATCATTAAATCTCCACTGACTACAATTTAAAAGAAGGTAGGAGGGAGATTTTGAAGTCAACTGGAAGAAGGTTGTTTGACTTGATGAGACCAAAATTGACCTTTTGATCATCGTGCTAGACATTGTGTTTGCAGAGAACAATCTCCACACCATCTCCACTGTGAAGCATGATGGTGGCAGCATCATGATGTGGGGATACTTCTCAGCAGCAGGTCCTGGAAGACTTCTCCAGGTCGAGGGTAAAATAAAAGCAGCAGATTATAGGGAACCTCAGAGGACAACCTCATGCAGTCTGCTAGAGAACTGTGACTTGGGAGGAGATCTGAAGAGTTCATTTGCAAAAACAGATAACTCCATCTTCACAAACCTTCAGAAAACCCACTTTTCCATCATCTACCTGAGACAACATCAATCAGACTTAAGTTATCTCTATTTTTGTCATTTCTACTGAGTCAAATCCACTCAACTTCACTTTGATTGATATTATCTCAAGCAGACAACCAAAAAATAAGTTTTCTGAAAATCTACAAAGATGAAGTTTTCTGTTTTTGCAAATGAACTCTTCAGTTGTTTCCAGCAAGACAACAAGGATGTGGAGTGGCCGAGTCAGAGGCCAGACCTTGACCAAACTGAGAATTTGTGGCTAGACTTGAAAAAGTTTGTTAATTCACGATCTTAGTGAAAAGAAAAGACTGAAGTAAAATGGCAGGGCCTGGATATGCAAGGCTGATTGGAACCATCCACAGAACCTCAATGCTGTAAATGCAGCCAAAGGTTCATCCACTTAACGCTGACTTGAAGGGGGTTGAATGCTATATAACAGACATTACTTTGTTGAAATCTGTTTTCACTTTGACATGGCAGAGTCTGTTCTTATAAACTCTACTCAAAAAAGCTAAACTAAATTGATTACGATTAAAGTTTTGAAAGTAAAACAAGAGGAAAACTTTCGAGGCACTAGACAGGCTGTGTTGCAAACTAGAACCATGCAGATTGAATGACATGAGCTTCTGCCAAACAGTGTAATGGGAGATGCTATTAGGTTGCACTGGTAAATAAATGGAGTATCCAGTGTTTCTGAGGCTTGAATGACACTTCGACCAGTCAGAAGATCTCAGGCTCTGCTGCCTCAGTTTTGATGATTTGCTTAAAAATATTTACCCTGTTTCACTGAAGTGCAATTTAAGGTGGACAATACGATCAGACACACATTATCGCTGACATGGACTTTATTCAACATTCGCATGTGATAGAAAGTTAAGTGGAGATAAATGGTTTGTGAGATTTTTAAAAATTATATATTATTCTTTGTTATTATTTATAACTTTTCTTCAGGTTGTACGGGGGAGATTTTATATCAGATTATATTTTGAATTATAAAACAAAGCAGCAGAAATATAACAACAAAAGCAAATTGAGCAGGTAAGATTTTATAGAAGAAAGATTTGCAGCAAAGATCCAGATGGTCAGGATTCAAGCTTTTTGTGTTTTTTTTGTGTCATGTAGTTCGACAAAGATAGTTACGACAATAAAATGAATAAACTCATAAACTCATATTAATCCTGAAATCTAATTGGGTAATGCATCTCTCACTGCGCACTTAATTGGGTGGAAGAAACACTTCACTGAGGAAATGATGATGTGATTTTCATGGTATGTATCCGTACATTTACTTAAGTGGGATTTTAAATGCAGGATCTTTATTTGTAATGAAGTTTTTATATATTGTTGTGCTCATTTCACCACAGATTATTATGTAGAGCAGACAAACATACAAACTGAGCGAGGAGAGGAGACAGACAAAATCTAAACCAGGCACAAAACGCAAATAAAAGTTTTGTAGACTCAAGTCTCTGTTGGCTTGTTCTGCTTTTACCTGTCTGGCAGCCGGCTGGAAGCTGGACTCATAATCAGAGGAGTTGAGGAGCCACAGCGGGGAAACTATCTCCACTGCCCGGATGGCCCGGTCCAGCAGGCTGTACAGCCCCGCTGATAGAGGGAGGTGGGCCGTGCCATTGTCCAAGAAGGAGATGTCCTCTGGGATGTTCTCCACCAGCACTACTCTGTGGAAAATAACAGGAAAAGAAACAGAGTGAACGCAAGAGGAAAGCACAAGCCGCCTTAAAGAAGACGCAAAAAGCTGCATAAGCATCACGAGGCTCCGCCGAGGAGACCTGTTAATGGAGAAATGCAGGAGAAATTAATGTGAGGTTTATGGCCTCTCACAAAGCAATTATGTGTTTGCATTAGTGCCGGAATCACTATGAGATCGGGTGCCAGCGAAATTAGGCTGTATTTCTTATTTCATACTGCCCCATGACAAACGATCCAACTGCACCCTTCTTCCTCCTGCTCTGAGTCATTAGCTTAATGAGAGAAATCAAGACTTCAAGACCATACATGCCCTTGATTCCATCAAGTATCATTAAATCTTGCACAGGTTGCCCGTGGCAAGGGCTCAGAAGAACTGAAGGCTGAGGCGCAGAGACGTCAGCGAGGCAGATTCAATTACAGCCAGTCAGGGGAAAGTGACACAGTTTTTGTCGTATTCTTGTCGGTTTCTTATACACACTACATCACATGGTGCAATTTAATGTAATCATCAGCAGTCTGGGGATTTAATGTGGTCATCAGCAGTCTGGGGGTAATATCATACACATACAATCACGAACAGAGGCAATAAAACTGTCCTGTATGTCGGATACAATGCAGCTATATTCACAAAATGACCTGCTTGAGATTCAGTGGAACCAGGAGCTGAAAGTTAAATCAGGAGGAAAAATGTTCTCACTTAGACTTGTTTTGCATTTTAATGTTTTCTGCACACCATTGTGAAAAATCCTGCAACTCTCCGGTTTTGCAGTTTACCAGGACGCCTCAAAAATGACGGGGGCATTAGCGCCGCAGTCAATAGAGTGAATTAACAGTGGCAGGGATCTGGATCTGCAGCCGCTCACAACCGGGCTATTATCAAGCTCCAGCGCTCCCCACAATCTCCCCGCATCTGGCTCAGGCATCGATTTCTGCCAGCTGGATCTAAAAACAAAATACAAATTGGAGAGAGGCTGTTCGGCGAGGGTGAACAGTTTAGACGTGAGTTCTGCTGCACCTCTGCGGCTGATTAAGTCTGTGGATAAAATGTCGTCCAGGAAACTAGAGGAACCACAACAGGAATTTAGTCGTGTCAGTCATGGAGTACAGTGAGAAAGATGCTGGTAAAAATACTGCAGATTGGTTCAGTTGTTAAAGCACTCCTGTCTTAATAAACATGACTTTATTGTAATCTGATCAACACAGTCCCACAATAACATCACACAACCATTAACAGCTCAGAAATGTCAGTAGCTTTTATTAAAATCTGAGTTTAAAACTTCCTTTTTTCACATCGCTGTCCATGATTTTCTCATTTTATGCAGCTTGTTTAGCACCTGTATGCATCTTTTATTGTGTTTTTATGTTGTTTTATGTGACCTTTGCTTGCTATGTTAAACACCTGATACTAAAAAAGACATTATTAGTGTTATGCTTTGATAGAATCCACAATAAAGAATCCATAAAGATTCGGCTTATCCCTGGGCAATGATGTGGAAAATCGAGTGTTATGTCAGATTGTTGAATCTCATTTGTTCATTTCATGCAGTTAAATTAGGTTTTAAGCAGATGAAGCCTCTCACGTTTGTGTTTCTTGGATTGACTGAATCACTTGCATACCTGAGAATCATCCACTAAATCCAGACGATGCAGTTCATCTACTTCTGCTCCTCACTCCACTCTCAGATTGACTAGTTTGCTCCTGTCGTAGTAATATTTTGGTCAACTCGTGTCCTGCTTTGTTCCCTTTAATAGTTAGTAACAACTATTCCCCACAGCACATTCTACACGCTGCGCAAACAACTGTTTAATCTACGTGTTCCCCATCTGGAAGAACAGCAATAAGAAGAAAACTGACGGTCTGAAGCGGTATAAATAACTGAGCGTTTTGACCTTTTGGGCTCGGTGTAACAAGCTCGTAATGAAATATTGACAAGCAGTGTTATCGCTTCATAAAGCTGACAGCTGCGTATCCACACATCCAGCAGAACACACTGAAGCCGAACACACTGAATCATGTGGAGTCTGTTCACACAACACATGTAACTCTAATATTCATCCCCTTCCTGACAGAAATATCTGCCTCTGAAGCCGCTAAACGCTCCAAAAACACGACATAAATTATGCATCACTGTAAAGTACTGTTGAGATGCAGGTGGAAATAACAGCAAATATCTGTAACATAGTGCTTTATCAGATTTAAATACAATAAAGTAGATGATTTTACAGTCACACATTGCAAAAGAACAAATTAGTTTTATTTAAAAAATACAGATTTTTGATGTGGACGTTATGTAATTTTTTTTGCAGTTTTTAATGATTTTACTAAATATTATCTGTGATTTAATAAAAAAGGGAAAAAATCAGAAAAATGACAAATGTCTGTAAATATTGATATTGTTTCTGATTTAAATACAGTCTGATTTTATTTTATTGTAAAATAACTAATTGCTATTTGTAAATATACAGATCTTTTGCAGATGTAATGTACAGTTTTAGATTCTTTAAAATGATTTTAGTAAATATTATCTGCAATTTACTAAAACATGGAACATCTGTAAAATGAGTTTAAAAAGATTTAACATATTTTTAAATCTCCAATATATTTGCAATCTTTTCAACCCTTGTACACGATTTTTCCTTCAAAAAACAAAAATATCAGTGAAATAATGACTGATTTTCTGATTTTAATATTGTAATAAACAGAGAAGAACAATTTACTATCTGTTAAAATTCACATTTTTGATTTGGACGTTATTTACAGTTTTGGTCTGTGTTTTTTTTTCCAGTTTAATTTTTTTCTTCTGTGACTTCACTAGATATTATCTGCAATTTACCAAAACAGAGACAAAGAGAACATTTTTTCATTTTTAAAAAAGATGTATTTTTGTCACAGTGCCAGTGTGGGATTATCAGAGTTTCTCTGCAAAGAATAAACCTCTTTTACTTTACATGTTTCGCCTGATCCAACAAGATTCATTAATGCAGATTTAAAAGCAGCTCGTGCAGTCGTATAGCTGCTTTAGTTGTTGCTGTGATATTTAATCGTTCCTCTCAGCCAGCTGATAAGATCTATTTTTGGTTCAGCACATCGGTTTCACACATTGTTGCACTTTGAAACCCAATAGATAAAGATTTATGCATCTTCTTTCCAAGTAAATTATCTTTTCCCTGATTTTGAGCCAAACTTATCATATCAAAGACTTTTTTTTTAAACTTTGTTAGCAATTCATGGCTGCGCTCGGAGCAGTCGGAGCACAGGGTCAGCCAAAGAGTGACAGCTCGGAGTCCATCGAGTGCTTGACTCAAGGGCACACTGGTGGGAGCGAGTGCTGCAGGTGATAATGTAGTGGCATCACATTGAGAGGCCAGTTGCCAGCTCGCAGCTTGATAAATGTGCTCCCGGCCAAAGCAAAGCAAAGTCAGGTTTTGGAAAGTTGCCACAGGTCAAACTGTAGAAACCCGCATCTTTCTGTGATCATAAGGTGCTGATGTCACGTCTCGTGGAAACGGCGGTCGATATGTTCAGTGCAAGAAGAGTTCGGGACGATGGCGAGTAAAGCCGGCTGCTGAGAGTTTTGTTTCTCCCGTCTGTCAGTCACAGAGCGAGCGAAATGAAAAGGCACAAAGAAACCAATGCGCTGAGCTGTGATGAAATTACAGAGAAGATTTACGCCACACAGTGAGGTTGTTCTGAATAGATGGCAGAAAGTAGGACAGCTGCAGCAAAAACAAGGATGGATGGAGAACACTGAGGAAGAGGAGGAGGAGGAGGAGGAGGGGGTAATCTTATTCTGAGAGTCCACTCTAATGGCAGTGAGCTATGATGAATAGTGACTGTGACTGGTTCAAACAGCCAGACATGGACTCGGCGTTGAAGGTGGAGAAAGCAGAGGATCCATCGATTTATGCAGACGATGTTGTCCGTGGCCGCTGCCCTCACTCATGGGTGTGATTCAGCCAATACCTGAGCACTGTAAACTCCATGGTGTGTGTGTGCCTCTCGTTCTGAATGATAATGGATGTCTGGCAGGTGAGCACAGTTGGATTCATTCTCGCCCCTCCTGATGTTTCATTCCTCAAAAAGAAGAATAGATTTCACACCACTGCAGCGCTGCCAAGGCCGAGTCAGTTCTACCTGGTAAACATACGGTAAACAACATTAAAACGGCTGGAATAGCGCCACTTACATGCAAATGCCTCTGAGTAAGTACAATCGCGGTAACGGTGCAGGTTCAAGGTGGAAGTCTCAGTGTCCCCGAGTCAGTTCCTGACATCTGATATAAATTATCCGCCCTCTCCTGAGCCGCCCTGAGCTCTGGGTGTACAGCAGCGGGGACATTAATACGGCCATCACAGGAGCTGCCGTTCTGCTGCTCGCATGCTGTTCACTTCAGTTTCATCAGGTGCAGCAACCAAAAGGCTGCTGTCAGAGCAAACACACTCAGGATGGAAATCTACTATTTAGATTCTATTTGTTTTAAAATGATCCTGTTTAATGCTGATGAACATGGACGACCAGTTCTTTTTCTTTTATTGTGTTATTTCGTGGAGCTACAGGTTTTCATCACCGCCTCACCTGCTGAGCCTACACTGTGAACCACCAGGTTACAGAATCATGAAAAACCAGTTATTTCCCTTGGTTCAGCTGTCTAATGTCTTTGACGTATTACGTTGATTTTCTTTATTCATTCTGGCAGCAGCTTTGCCTGTGTTGTGTTGCACAGTGTGATGATGCATTTGAGGTTTTTCGAGTGTGATATTGCAGGTGTGGTGTGATCTCAGGAGCCAGAAGCTCTTTTTACACCTGAACTTTTGTTTGCGAGACTAATTACACAACCACCGCCGAAGCGTGTTGATGGTGCCTATTGAAACTGTAATCCTTCCACTGAATGCCGAGGTTCTTTTCACCTGAATTGTCAGCAATTTTTCTTTGATGCTTCCCTCCGTATTCCTTGATGCTGCAACTTAC